ACAGAGTGAGACTCTGTCAAAAAAAAAAAAAAAAGAAAAAAAAAAGAAGGGGAGGGGCTCTCTGGGGTCTAATCACATTGCTGAGGGCTCCACCCTCATGACCCCTTCCCCTCCCAAAGGCCCCACTTCTGAACACCATCACCTTGGTGTGAACACATGAGCTCAGGAAGGAAGGACACAGACATTCTGGTGGCTGCAGTCCAAGCATGGAGCATTAGGACTTGGCTACAATTCACAGTGCCTTCCCCGACAGAGTCCCTGACACTTCCTGTCCACACCCCTGTGCTAGGCCTCAGCATGTGGAACAGGGAGTTAGGCTGATCCACCATTTCTCTGAGAGGTCCTGAAGCCAGGGCCCAGGTCCACTCCACCTTGGCTTCCACAGGACTGGCCCAGAGTCCTCCCCCTTCCCTCCCTTTCGGGGGGGCTCCTGTTGCCTACAGAACGAACTGTCACCTCCACAGCCTCTGCCCTCTACTGGCCATTCCAGCCACCAGGAGGGTAGGGTAGGAGGAGGCGGAGAGGGCTTGGCAGGACTGGGGCATGGGACAAGGCGGGAAGACGGGCCATGTATGGTGGCCTCTGGGTGACAACACCATACACATCCCTTTAGCTGCCACAGTGATGACTCCGGTGCCTGTATCTCCTTTCCCCTGGGTTCAAAACACGAACATCCAACGGCCTCCTGACAAGTGTGATGTCCTGTGGGTGTGTCTAAGTCAGCATATACAACACCAAGTTCATAAAGTTTGCTTCCCAAAACCATTCTCCTCTGTGGTCTCCGATCTCTCATCTGGTACCACCATCCACTCCACTGCCCGCCCAGCAATCGGGGCATCACCCCGGCTCCTCTCCTTCCCTCCTTTGGCTGATCCCCAAACCTGCTGTATCCATTCTAGCTGCTGTCTCCCCACTATGTGTCAGCTTGATCCTCTTCCTGCACCACTGCGTATACCTAAGTCACCATCGCCTCCACTGGAGCCACCGCAGCACCTGCAGCCCCGCTCTGGGTGCAAACCTGGTAGGTGCTAGCACTTTGCATGTCTCTGCTCCCACGCATGGCCATGGCAGGGGAGGGGCAATTATTTCAAGCAGTATGCAGAGAAGGAAATGGAAGTCCAAGGTCATACTGCAGCTGAGTAACGGCCTTAGCACCCAGGCCTGGGTTCCTACCACCTCCCTCTTAGCGTCCCAAAACAATGCAGTGAAGACAGACAGGGATGGGGGTGGGGAAGAGTGAGCTCACAGTGAATCAGGAGGGTTCCTTCGTCCATGCTCTTAGGTTATTTTATTTTATTTTATTTTATTGTTTTTGTACAGACAGGGTCTCACCTTGTTACCCAGGCTGGTCTGGAACTCTTGAGTGCAAATGATCTTTCCGCCTTGGCCTCCCAAAGTGCCAGGATCACAGGTGTGAGCCACTGTGCCTGGCCCTCTTGGATTTTCCTTTTTTGTTTTCGAGACGGAGTCTCACTCTGTTGCCCAGGCTGCAGTGTAGTGGCACGATCTCGGCTCACTGCAACCTCCACCTCCCTGGTTCAAGCGGAGAATTCCTGCCTCAGCCTCCTGAGTAGCTGGGATTACAGATGCCCACGACCATGCCTGGCTCAATTTTGTATTTTTAGTAGAGACAGAGTTTTACCATGTTGACCAGGCTGGTCTTGAACTCCTGACCTCCAGTGATCCGCCCTCATCAGCCTCCCAAAGCTCTGGGATTACAGGTGTGAGCCACTGTGTCTGTCCCCTCTTGGATTTTCATATCATCTACATGGTCAGTTGAATTTTCAATTCACAGACCTTGTTTTTTTTTTTCTTTTAGGAAATCA